TTATTTAAAAATATTTTTTGAAATGTAAGCCGATTTAATTTTCTTTCATTTGTTGTAATTTTTAAGTTAAGTATTAAATAAAGTCATTAAAATTATTAAGTACAATAAAAACGTCGTTAAATATAAAATTATATACCTATACCTAAAATTCTGATGACTTTAAAGTAAAAAAAAATTTTATGGCCCGCGGTAAAAAAATTTTTTTTTTATGGCCAGAGTTAAAAAAAGTTTGGCCACCACTGGTATAGTAGATGACATGTGAACTTGATTATATATAAAATATAGTATACATAACTATAATGGATGAGTTAAATTGAAATTTAATGATATATCATTTGTATAAGTATATTAACTGTATATGATGAAAAATGATTCTGAGCAAAAGCTAACTTTTTGGGACTTAAAACAGTTATTTTAATAATGATATTACAACATAAAACAATTTTCATAAATTTTATCTGTTTTTAAAAATWTTTTAAAAAGTATTGGAAAATGTCCACTTTGAATTAAAATGTAAAACTATATCCAAACTTTCTTCGGAGTTGATGAGAAGAAGATTAGTGTTAATTGAAAAAGTGCCGTCGGACCCACAAAAAAAACTTTGTCGTAAATAAACTAATACACCAATCACTATTCACTTTATTTRTGACAACATACTGATAACTAACGTTTGGCAGAGCAAATTACCACTTGAAATTATTTTAATTTAATTTATTTAGCATTGTGAATTACGATGCTATCATAGCAATAACCCTCTTAAATAAACAAACAACTAAGACACCAATAATGTCGGATTGTATTAGTATTTGTATTTTTTTTTTATTATGAAATAACAGGATTTACTTGAACTATTTCTAGTGTGTATTAAAAAGTTATCATAAAAATTGTCTATAAATCCATACAACAGGAACTAAAGTTATTTACCTTTATAAATCCATTAAGCGGGTAAATCAACAAAGGTTTAATTACTCGTGGTATTTTGAGTACCTACTCGTATCCTTCTCGTCAAAGATTGAACATTAAAAAAAAAATGAACACCCTTTTGTTACTGTAGTAAATCGGTACTGTATTTGAGGTTTTTACCTTCCTCTAAGTTGGACGGCCAATTCCCATTCTTTGTCTGCCATCGCTTTGGCCACTGCTTTAGTCTTTTCGACACATTCCATCAGTGGCAAACGAACCGCCTGGTTACCATCCAACGACACAACGCAAGCTTCGGTTTCCGGAGTAGCTTCCATCAAAGCCATGACAGCTTCCGCTCCCATTCTGCACCCCTTTGACAAAAAAACAACACAATAGGATAAATATAATATAACTGTAAAATACCGAATTTAAACCAACGGTGTGATGACTGTAGGTTAGGTAAAACAAGTATTTACGAAAAATATCACTATTTGGGCCTCAAGGTAGTATCCAAACATACTAAATAAACTAACTTTAGAAGGGTGCAACGCGTTAATCGTCAGATTCGAATCCCATAATATATCCTGGGGACCTGGTATAACGAAAGAAAGATGGCGGATTTTTAAACAATAAATACAATCCATTTATACTTTTTTTTAATTAAATAATTAAAAATGAATGGTTAACTCAAGATTATTATCGTATAATATTTCTAGGTCTTTAACGTGGACAATAAAAAAAAATTGCAATCCACACAGACTTGAGTTACATACTCAATACAAAATTGCGCCATAAATCGCAGGTAAAAAAAAATTGTCAAGGATTCAAATAGGCTATACAATATACATCAATTGTGTTGGATGATATTGAAGTACCAACAATTTTATAATTTAATTGAAAGTAGAAATTAGAAAATAAACAATAATATCTGAAGTCAGTAAGTTATTACAAAAAAGAAACAATTTTTGTAATGAACCATGAACATATTTTTCTTATGATATTTTTTAGATTTTAAATTAATGTTTTTTAACTCTAATTATCAATTATTTATTTTTATAGACACAATTTAGAACTATCACATTTTATTATTTTAACATGATATATTGTTTTAAAAYCTATTTTATTAGTATTCTTATACAATTTAGTTATAAGCTAACTTTTAATGTTAGAATATTTTGTATAAAATTTGTATTATAATTAAAATATTATACTGAATTTTTTCGTTAAAATGTTTTCTTGGCGCAATCACCAATCAACCTTTTCAATTTGTTATAAATCTATTGGCGTAAAAAATATATATATTCAGGTATTCTAGAAAAATAAAACGCAATTTACGAACACCGACAGAATTTCAGCCCTACCACCACACGGGTCATCGTTATCATTCAAATACAAAATATAACGATATAATATTAATATCCTATGTAGAAAAATATGTTTATTGTTTACCAAAACTCTATCGAAAGCCGATGGAGCCCCACCTCTCTGGACGTGACCCAAGACCGTAATCCGCGTGTCCTGTTTCAARTTGTCCACTACCACTTGTTTCACCATCTCAGCAGTGATCGGCTTTCCGTCACGGTCAATGGCACCTTCGGACACGATGATGATGTTTAAACGCTGGCCCGCTGTCCGTTCCTAAATATACATAGCATATTATATATACGTACACATAATGAGTATATTAATAATAAATGAAAAACTAGCCAAACGACGACGCACGTCATATCCCAAAAGCTCGTTCGTAAAGCTCGGAAATAAAAAATTTTCATTCACCACGGTGTACACTGTACATATTTTAAGACACAAACCCACTCACTCGACACTAATCCATCGATGTGTATAAATATTATTCATAACATTTTCTAAAATGGAATTTAACTTTTCAAAATTCAYTTTTCGATTATGATAATTTAAGAATGTCTAAATATCTACATAGGTACACAATTTAGTAATTATTAAAACAACTTACGTTACGCACTACAATAACAAAGCAATAAACTGTACATAAGGCCCCAGTGCAAAAGAACTATCTACAAGGATGCGATGGTGAACAGTATCTGAAGTGATTAAATGATTATATTACATTGACTATATATAATTGAGTAATTGACGTAGGTATTATATATGACAACACCGTCGTAGCGAGAAAGATTGTTTTACTATTGTCATAAGAGTAGAGGTTGATGAGACGAACTAAAATAATGAAAAAAGCTTGATACATTTTCAGAATTGATAAAATAAACTTCGATAGTCAGGTATTAAAAATACGGATATAGATTACAAGTGAGTTACTGTAATGGATGGAATTAAATTTGAATCCAATGATATTATATCATTGTATACGAAAAACGATTCTAAGAGGCAACGGTTTGTCATCTGTCTAGGATATATTATAGATTATTCAATTTTTTTTATGAATTCCTAGATTAGAATAATTTGGCGAATTTTCGTGATATTTACGTATGTTGTCAAAATTCAAACTTTGAATACTTATAAAAAAAAATATGTGACTATATATTTATTTTRTTTTTCAACTGCCATTATAAAAATATGTTAGGAGCCTTGTATTAAATTTTCAAATCTTAGGTTTAAAAAGAAAAACTTTTACGAATTTCTATTTAAGATAATTTGAACATTGCCATAATTTTTACGTATAGGTATAGTCAAAACTTGAACTTTGAATGATTTTTTAAAAAATCCGTGCCTATGTATTTTTAATATTTTTCAACTGCTATTGTATCAATGTGTTAGGAGTCTTGAATTAAATTTTCATTCCTTATTATTAATTGTTTTATTCGTGTAATAATTTGAGTAGAATAGGCCTATTAAATAATAATTAATTGCACCATTATGGAAATTTTTATAACAATTCTCGACATTGACTTATTATTTAATGTATTTATTAATTTTTCCTATGGTGTAGGGAGGCGAACTTCTTGATTAACTGTTGTGACTGTTGTGAGTTACGGACCGTTTCATAAAAGCAGTTTTTAATTTTTTAACAAAATCAATGTTTAAGTTTTGTGGTCTTGCATAATTATTAATAATGGTTTAAYAATCTTGTTTTCAATCGTTAAACAAATTGTATGGGCTGTGTATTTATTAATTAAACTGTAGGTACAACAACTGTTGTTTAAAATCGGTAATTATCGCAACCATATTATTTTATAGATAGCTATGGTTATTGGTTAGTGTGGTCTTAAGTCATGAGTCAACTAAAATTAGGTATAAGTTAAAACGCGTAAACATACAATAATTTTATAATTCGAAAAYAGAAAAACAAATTAAATCCATGAAYATTATAAAGTGGTTATATTGGATTATAAATAATAATAATAAATATTTAATCCAGAAATTTAATATATAGAGAATTAGAGACATTAGTATGATCTTAAGACGRCTTTAATCAACATTAAAGTGATATATAACCTTTAAGCGTCTAAATGGAAATAAATAAATAGTCTTAGAACAAATATTTCATATACCATAAAATCAATATTATTTTTTTATAGTGCCTATTTTAGCAATAAGATTATTATATTATAAGGTGATTAAAATTAATAATAATTGTCTAACTTTGTTTAAAACACAAAATGGGAATTTAGATATCGTGTTGTATTTTCAATGTATTGAGATTTGATCTAGTTAAACGATAAGAATACAGAAAATAGATTTTAAATTGTTGCCAAGTTTCCTAGAGATTGACTTTAGAAAAATGTAAATATGATTTTTTTTTAATTTCAATTTTTCATGGTTTAGGGAGATAATACGGAAATCGATCTCAAGTAAAAATTTTTATCAATGATTTTTATTGTATAAATTGTTATAAATTATAAGTAGGTACCTATTATCTACATTGGAAATATAACACARTATTTAAATTTGTATTTTGTARGAAGCAGAGAGTTGTCTAAGGTAAACAAACAGATACAACATTATTATTTTTAGCTTTAAATCCCTTTAACTATATGAATTAAAAAAAGATATTAACAAATATAAATTAGTTTTAAAGCAAAAATAATTTTAGTTAGCAAAATATTAATTCTAGACCAGGGATGGCAAACGTTTTAGAAATGACACACGGGCTTTATTATTATTTTATTATGTTATAATTTCAGATTTCARATAATGATATTCTTTTTTGATTAACTGAATTATCTGAATTATATGATAATATAAATTATAAATATAATATGATAAACCTTTTAAAGCGTAAAGCTATTTAACTTAAGAGGACGCTACACCCGCATGTGTTGTCTCCGTCTTACAAGTGCGTAACATTGCAAAAACTGTTTCGCGCGGGAAAGAACCAAGAAGGCTAGAGTTATAACTAAGAAACGAAATTTTCACCAAAGATAAAAGGGAATTTCGACTGKGCAACATTGTTTTTATTTTTTCAATATCACAAATAGAAAAAAAGTTCTTATTGTTTCAAAATTCATTATTTTTGCGTTTTTCAAAGTCGAATAACTTTTTTTTCAGTTCTAATATCAAAAAAATAAAAACAACGTTGCTCAGTCGAAATTCCCTTTTATCTGTGGTGAGAATTTCGTTTCTTAGTTATGACTGTAGCCTTCTCGGTTCTTTCCCGCGCGAAACAGTTTTTGCAATGTTACGTACTTGTAAGACGGAGACAACATTAGCGGGTGTAGCGTCCTCTTAAATATTTTCATTATAATTTTTCTAAATGATTTAAGAATATAATGTATTTGCATATTATATTATATTTGATATATATGTATTACATTTTGTACATAGTTAGAACACAAGTAAACATAATATTTTTTTAACCAAGTTATTTAACGTTTGCCATCCTTGTTTTAGAGTTCAGATTAATGCATGCACATATTAAACACTAAAAATATTTATTAATTTTCTTCATACAAAAATACGCAATATATTTCTAAAAGCCATTCTCTACTGATAAAACGCACTACAATGAAYCTCAATCACTTATACAATTCATCGTTTAATAAAATAACTTATGAATTTATTACCATCAGTATGACAATATCTTAGATCCAATGATCATTATTCATTAATATTAATCATTATAAAATGATTCATAAAAGTTGGGTCAACATAATTGTTAAATACTATATTGGGTAGATGAAAATTTCAAATAGATATGTCAAAATCTAACATTACATTTTGAAACAATGGATTCAGAAATACTAGAAATATGGTAAATATAATATCAATAAGTATATCAACAAGGAACATGAAAATCTTGAATGAAAATGATCAAGTTAAGTGAAGTCAACATAAATAGAAAACCTTAAAAATAGAAAGTACACAATGCTTGAACTTTTACGAAAAAAAATCTCAAATAATATATTATCATTAGTATACTTTTTTAATTTAAAATAAAATATTTATGGATTTCTCACTTTAAGGACCACACAATGAGATTCTAGAAAATATAACAATAGAAACTACATGATATTTAAAAAATAAAACCTTAAAACCATCAGACTTCTAAAAAATTAAAACATATTTCCTATTTTCGGTTTATATGAGTACAGTTAATATAATGTAATATTTTCGAAACCAAATTTAATGGAACACTGATAAATAATAATGATACAGTATAGGTAAAATTCAAGTTTAATCAGTAGTAACAGATAATATTGAAATATAATGTAGGTATAAGGATAATATATAACACACTGACTAATACAACTCATGCATCAATATTTTTATGCTGTACAACAGAAGTAGGTCTTGCCTGTAGCAATTTTTTACACATTTTCGACGCCCAATCTTGGTGAGGCGGCCATTCTGGAATGAATACAAAATCGGCTTCTGCCGCCAATGCCGTAACCAAAGCTAAATACCTGCACATTTGTTTAATATAGCACACTCCCACCATACATTTCTAACATCCACTAATTTAACATTATATATGACAATTATACGTGTATACATATTATTATACTATATACATAGATGTATATAATGTATATAAATATATAATACACAAATGAGTTACACAGAGCGATTTTTTTTTAATGTAAGACACAAATTATTTGTCAATACYCTTACATTTTATTTACAAATAGTCATCATAATATAGTATATTATCAGAACATTACATTAAAAGTAGCATAAAAAGACCGAAATCTCTAATTGCTGTGATGCTAAAAATGAAATGTATATTATATTGTAATAGATCAATTATTTTTAAAACAAAAAGGAAAAACGAGTGCCTTACATTAATCAATAATCACCTTGTATARATAGGCGTATAGTTATAATTGTTATTGAATAAATAAATGGAAATTAATACATATTAATACATATTATTATTATTATTATTACAGTTTTGACACTACGACTGTACACTGCACCCCGAGAGGCCGCGACATAGCCACAAACAAATCAGACCAGTTTCCTTTTTAATATATTATATTCTATGGACATAATGAATTCGCGTGGTGAGCTTCCAATGTCCTATGACCTTATCTACAAAGGAGGCGAGAACAAAACGTAAAATATAAAATATTTAAGCGCTAAGGCAGAAATATTAAAACACAGGGATAATCATGCTTTAGTATAATATATAAATTATAAAATCAAAATGTGCGAGCGGTTGTTAATGGATTTAAAGGTGTGTTGATAAAGACATGATCGAGAAGAAGTTTACAAAATTTTCAAGTTAAGATATTGATCATTATTGATTTTCTTTCTAAAATATAGTCCTTGCCTGCTCTAATTTGTTGCAAAGTTTGGTCGGCCAATCACGTGGTGGTGGCATCTCTGGTATAAACACGTAGTCGGCTTCACTAGTGAGGGCTGTGACAAGTGCAAGGTACCTTTATATGCAACAGCGGCGTTATTAAACTTGAAACAAGAACACTTCAATCACTTTTATTTTGTTATAAAAAGAAGAGATATACCAAATTTTAATACGAAGAAGTATTATTATTTATTATGTAATTGAGTTTTACATTTTTAATAGCCATAAGAATGAGAATCAAAGCCAAGTCAATTATATATTGTTCCAAATGTTAAGTAAATAATTGTACAGTATGTACAGTACATGTCTGTATACATTGATGCATTTTGTATATAAGTCTATAGGTTTTTTTTGTCTGTCTAATGGATTTTACTAATACTGTTAAATTTATTGCTTTTAAAAATAATTATCAACTAAAATACCTACTTAAACTGAACGATTAAATATAATGTATTATTCATAAAATTAGTAAAATGTARAAGTTCTATTCTATTCATATAATATTTCAAATTGCTAGTTAACTAATAGGTCTCAAATTATACAGTATCAAGTGAGGATTTACTATAATTCTGTTTATTTTTTTTTAAGACTTGCAAGGACAAGGATTGCAAATATTTCATTTTTTAATTTATTTAATGTTTAAGCAAAAAAGTTTAAAAAAATTTTCATTTAATTATTTTATTTTTATTAGTCTCACGATTTATGATCATTTTTATATTTCAAGAAAAAAATTTTGTATTTAATACCATAGTCCAGCTAGTCTCATTTATGATAAGAATTTTTATGAACAATTTATTGTTATGGTATTATGTAATATTTTARTAATACAAAATGTTTTTTGAAATAAGAAAAATTATTAAAAATCGTGAAGTTGATGAAAATAAAATATTGAAACATCAAAATTTTCAGAAAAATTGACTTTTCAATATGGCTATTTCTAATTTTTTTTACTTTTTTACTAAATATTAAATTTGATAATTATTTTTAGTATTTGTGAATCTCATAGAAAAAAACAGAATTATAATATCTCTATTATTTTATGAGACATCTAAACCTCACGGGACACCCTGTATATAAACCACTTAACTATAATAAATTATAATAAATATTCTACAACAAACTTGTATTACCTTAAATCATCATTAAAATACAATAATTGACTCAGCTATATAATTTTATTTCCCTAATATATTTATTACGGTTAAAAATCTAAAGAACAAAATGAATCTGTYTTAGGTGATTCTATGACTGTTAAAGTTATTCATTAGATAATCATATTATAATACTATAATTAAAAATTTGGTAAAGTTTAATACATTTTTAATAATATTTAGAACAATCAGTTAATGTCAAATAATTCTGTCATAATTAAAAATTAGAATGTTTCCTGAATATAGGTAATCAGTTTTAATATTTGTCAATAACCTTCATCAAGAGTTCACAAAAAAATTAATTGAGTTATTATAAACATAAATTCAAAAGCATTTAATTAAACTAGATGTATTAATAGACTTATAGTCTATTAATAAAATATATATATTGAATATACGATTATCTATCTTTAAAATATTCTCACTTTTACACATTTTACACTTCTAGAACTAGCCCTATAAAATGTAAGAACAATACATTTAATATCATTTTTCATTTAGTCATTAAAAGATGTGTTGGTATTGAATTATTTGATTTTAAGCTTATTTTCAAAACAAGAAAGCCAAATATTGGTAGAATACTAATTTTCATTTATCCAATAAATCGCCAAAGTTAAGATTCAAGGCTGTCTTATTTCGATTTGTGGTGTTCTTGCACTAAATAAAAACTAAATTCGTGAGATATAATGAAGACAAAACAGCAATATTATAGTTGTGGTGTAGTATTTAGTATTCGGTTGTCTTATAATCAATTTCTGTATGCAATCATATACCAAAATATAAGCAGTCTTGAATTAACATAAAACATTTAAAGGCTACAAGTCTTAATTTTGGGRTTTAAGAAAGTACTTCATAATATTTGAAAAAATCATATTCTAAGGTAGTTGACAAACRTATAAGTAAATAACTGTTCAAAATATTTTAATTCAAATAACTTATTAACAAAACTTTATATTTTGAGTTGTGAAAGTCTTATTCAAGAGGTGCGATATATCACTTGGAATATAAAATATAATTTAAAAATAAGATTTAATATCTAGACAAATTACATAAATAATAGAACATAATTCAAGTATTTAAGTCTATAAGTATTCACATACCTACATAATTACTGCTATACAGTTATTAAAACAGTGATCAAAACATAAATGTACTGCTAAATGTGAAAATAAATAAATTCAATTTTGGCTTCAGAAAAAATGAAACATCYATCTGAATAATAATTATTTCAATTACTAAGAACAAAACAAATTAACAATTATTTATTAGAACCAATGATAGAAAATCAAATCTAAAACCTTACAGGATAACATTTTGATTAATTTTTGTCTATCTATAATAGACTGAAGCCATGTGAAAAAAAATAAACCAATCTACTACAAACTATAAAATAAATTGGTGGTCCTATTTACTAAGATAAAAATAATGCTACTATCTACCTAATTAAAACCAAATTAACTATAATAATATAATTTTTTTCAAGCTATTTTATTATTTGCTTAGTATACCATATAATTATTGTATCAATCATTAATATTTTATTAAAATTAAAATATATAATATATTGATAACATTTAATTTAATTTCAACCTTACAAAAATCTTACACGATGACATGACTTTTTTAAAACTGGTTTCTATAAATAATTTTTTTTTATCATTTATYATACATGATCTGTAAATGTTATTTTACAATAAGCGAATGTGATGACTGATGGAGGTGATATGGCTTGGGTGACAGGAAATAAGAAGCCACCCATTAGAGGCACTTAAGGGTGGGAGTTTATTTTAATGTGCAAATGAGAGAGAGATTGAATACAAAATAAAGGGGAGGTAGAGGTACACTATAAATAATTAAGCCACCAAAATGACCAGATAAACTTGATTAAACTCATAATTTTGGTCAATTTTCAATGATCAATTTAAACATTTACTCAATTATATCATTCCATCAAGAGTTTGTAAGCCTAAGATATAACTAAAGTATTATAAAAAAAAATTTATGAATACTAAATAGTTATAACAATTTACATAAGCATCTAATAAAATATTTATCAAAATGAAAAATTTCAAAGAAATACATTTATTTATAATAATTATTCTTTGGCATTTCTTTGAGGAAACTACTATCTACCAAATCTTAAGGTCATAGAATCACCCTATTTCTTGCATTTTTTCAATTTTTTAAACTATTAATATAATAATTAGAATTAACAATCATACCCGCAATGGCGTCCCATTACTTCCATAATAAATGTTCTCTGATGTGAATAGGCCGTTGAAACAATAGCATCAATTGCATCCATTATGCGATGTAATGCGGAATCCGTGCCAATTGTCATATCAGTACCACAAAAATCATTATCAATAGAACCAACCATTCCGACAATATTCAACTGTTTATATTTTTCACGTTCTGTCTTATTAATCTGTGAAGTTTGCAATAGTTCGTCTAGAAGACTAGACCATTCTTGTCTAAATAGATTAGCTCCTGTTAGAGAACCGTCTCCTCCAATTACTACCAAATTAGTAATTCCACGTTTCACTAGGTTGCAAGCAGCCTTAAGCCGTCCGGCACGTTCTTTGAAATCCATACATCGTGCTGAACCAATGACAGTACCACCCTAAATTATGACATTTAAAAACTATAATTATTAATGAATAATATGGAATATGTACAAGTATACATATTGTATTGTTCTATAAACTGGATTAGGGGTTATTTGAAGGTCAGAAATAATGAACACAATATAGAAAAAAACATATAAATTAGATCAATACATCAAGCAATAGTATAAGTATAAATTTAAAAATGTGATTATTTACAGTACTTTTTACTATAATAGACCATTATAATATAGAACAACATTTTAATAAAAATAGGCACAACATTTTAATTTTAATTATGTTACTTTATTAATAAATTGTTTGATCATCAAAGTTGTAATAAAACTTTGCCTTACTTGGTATACTAAGGTCATACTATAAGAGTAGCCATAAATAGTAATTTTTTATATAGGTAACAACAAATATACCAATATATGTTTTAGAAAATTATCATAAAAAAATCACAATATAAGTAGGTTAAACAAAGGTCAATATTTTATTAAAATTAAAATATTATAAAAGGAGATTGAAAAATTAATCCTGAACAAAGTACCTAAGTGTAAGGAGTATATTTCTTTAACAGCAATTAAATGTATAGAAAATATAAAACTTAAAAAACTCATATATAATTGTTCTGTATGACGAATAATTTGATATTTATTATTTGATTTATTTCAAAAGTTAGACTTTTAGTAAAAATTTCTAAGAGTCAAAATTTCTATAATTTCTTGGCCTGTTGCTTGCAAGTACATTTAATGTACAATTATTGTTTTATAAAATTGCAATAGTAAATCATTTTTGGTTCACTTATGTGTCTAGCTAAGACTAACAACTTCATAAAAATTCAAAATGTGTAGTTCATTTAAAATACACAGCACGAACCAACAACAATACATATTTATGAGAACATATTATTGACATTTTTAAATCATTTATATAAAACATACTTAATAAAAAATTCATAAATTATGTGAATTTTACTAAACACACCTTATGTATTATAGATGACACCGAAGACCAATTAGCTTCTTCTATGTTATCCCCACCATCCACCATACCTTGATAACCCTCTTTAATAAAAAACACCTTGCAACCAAGATATATAGCCATACGAACAACAGCACGGACAGCAGCATTCATACCTAAAAAAATACAAACACATTTTTAAAATTATTTTAAAGACTGTATAACTAAAATAGGATATAAATTAGTGAATAAAAATTAACTAAAGAATTATTGAATATTATATAAGCAAAAGTAATATGAGTAATATGGGGTTGGATTTCTGAAAAAAWTATACATTTTCTGTGCCTAGCCAACACATTTTATTTGTATCCAACATCGATTGTATACCATTAAATGTGTTCAAAAATAATAACATACATACTTTTGAAAAGTTTTTATTTTTATATACCAATTTCTGTATAAAATTGTCTTTATTTGGATACTTTATGCATATAAATTATTATTTAACACACCTGTATATAACTATAACACAGCAAATGTGTTTAGAAAAAAATATTAAGTGWTAATGACATCAGTAGATATTTGTAAGAACATATTTTTTATAGTAAGAACTTCATTAAAAGATTTGCAATTGTCAGCATAATATTATTATTATATTAATKAATTGTTCTTTGTCTTGATTGGTAAAATAATTTCTTTTTAAATGACAACTATTCAACCATTAATTTAAAATCTAATGATTTTGATAAATTTTACTTTTCTATATGATGATTAAATATAATTCTCAAAAGCAGCAGAACAGTATATTGGTTGGCTACACCTGAATTGAGCTCTGAAATGAGTTAAACTGTATACTGATGTTTATCAAACTAAAATGTATTAGAAAAGAAAACCTTAAGTAAACCAATTTTATTATGATTAAGTTGTATTAAATAGGGTAAAATAAATATGTGAACACAAATACAGGTAAATAAACAAAAAAAAAAATTGATGTTTTAATAATAAATTTTGAATTTTAAAAATATATGTGTCGTACCTTGTAATCAATATACAACTAGAATACTAAGTAATAGCTGCATTTAAAATAATTTTTAAAAATAAAGTAACAATACTCATCAGTCTTTACTCAGTAACGATTCCAATCCTCTAATTAGAAAACTAGCTACAAGTCCCATGCCCAAAAACCCAACCCTTAGTATTTGCATATACATAAATAGCTTTTTCTGGTTTATAAAATACTAWTTTTTAATTAATTAATAGAACGGAAGTTATTTAATAGGTACCTTGCGAATCACCACCACTGGTAAAAACAGCAAGTCCTTTTCCTTTATGAGAACCCCGTTCGATGAATCGTTTTTGATCTTCCTCCATAATGTTGTTCTTAAAAATAAAAATTATGCATAATGTTATAAATTTATTGAAATAAAAAAAATCTTTACCTGTGTACAAACGAAATAAAATTAGGAGGTTTTGAACTCAGAACGAGGACGATGTTTCAGACAATATAATATGTATAGGTATTATATTAAMGTTACTATTCAATCATGTTCAGCCCTGACAATTGGACAATTAATAGTAACGTATTGTCTGATGTGTGTCCCACTATCAATTGAGCAACCGCGATGTCCGCGAGTGTCTGCTGTATCACTCTATTTAGTCTATTTTAAAACCGTGCGTTTGAAGACAGTACCAACGAAACGACCTCTAGAGGTCACGGATCACGGTCAATGAATTGACGAAGTATGATAAGTTACTTTTTTTAGTTCARTTTTATTTTAAATGTATATTACTTATTTCATTACACTAAGCGAGGAAGAAGGGAGCAACGAAGTTAAGCAAGGTCAACGGTAGAGTAGCGGGACATGGAAGACGCAAAGGCAACGAAAATTGTGCTGACTGCTGTCAGCTAGAATTACGGCAGTGTACACTGTAGTACTGTACTTGTGCTACAACTGCTACAAGCCTACAACAGTGATATATATAGTAATGWAAAATGTAAGAAGAGGACAACCACGCGCGACGCGCAAGTCAAGTAATGCGGTATAGTGATAAACTGATAAACTAAAAAATATGCTATCAATTATGCGAATATGCGATAAACAATAACACTGATAAGAGAAAAATAAAAAAAGTTAATACCCCACCGTTTTCATCTTGTACAGTTTTAACTCAGTCACAGTAGTCCCACTCACACAGACTTCTATTATACTAAACTCAGACCACAGAATCTGATCTGTACTAATCTGTACTCAGACCTTATGAGAGTCCATTGTCCGTGTTTAAATACTCTAAACAGAGGAACTCCTTAAAATGGACTGGTAATGATTTGTCCAGACGGTAGCACAAACTTCTATACAATATTATATATATATAGTAATATATAGAAGTCTGTGACCGATGGTAGTGGCATTGTTCTGTGCACGATATAAGATATACCATACATCAGCTGTGGCCTGTGGTGCAGTCAAGTCTTAATATTAAATATTAATACGTAGTTTCCTAAGATCTAAGAAGGAGAATTTAATATTTATCGGATTGGAGAGATCCTTGTGTTGTTTTTCGTAACTAATGAGTAATAACCATGGCTTAAGAGTTAAGATCACGATGTAGAGAAGATAAGGTGACACCACTCTTGTATCTTTCAATGTTACAATATTGACGCAAGAAATCGTGGCAGTTTGGTAGTTCAAAATTGATCACCAGAGTACGCTACCATTCGCACGAAGGCCGACTTTTATAAGAGTCGTAATGTAGATTATTTATATTTAAATTTTATTTATTTTAATTGTTATTCAAATGTCAATGATGTGCATGCCAGTATAATATATTTTATGTTAATATGTTATATTGTATAGATTATTAAAATACACAATTGTTTTGGAATCATGTACCAATTATTATGTAAAAATTGTAACAATATATGGTATCACTATTCAGCCACATCGTACAAATATATCGATTTAAATAAAATGAATGTTATTTATATATTCATTTATTAATTGATACATATATGTAAAAAAATGAAATTAGTAAATAGGTACAATTTAGTACAATAGGTAAAAGGTACTAGTACTAGTTCAAACTGCTAATAAAAGCTCAAATATACTGCTACTACCTACCAACCWAAGTCCCAAGTTACTTGGGCCAGTTGGGCCAAGTCGTAGGGACACCCAAGTCCCAAATATCCAAACAAAAAATCTTAATTACATTTATGTAGGTACCCATATTATAATATATAAGAAAAAAAAATTAAATATTAAGTATGATGTAGAGAAGATAGATCTATAATAGAGAATTGAATATATTATCAATTAAAATAATTAAAAAATATACATAATAATAATTAATAATACTAATAAATTGATAATATTCTATTTTTAATTCTCATTTATATACCTAATTGGTTATTTACTTGTACCATCTAAAGAACTTTATGAAATTATTTACCAAGTATAATATAATAATATATAAACGCAAAAAATTTACATAGGTTATGTATTATGTATTTGTATATTAATTAATAATAATAATTATTAGTTTTAGCTTGAAGATGCCATTTGCTCAATTATTGCAAAAACTAAAATACAAAAAAAAATTATTATTTTTAATATTAGATGAGCTAAAGGACACTGTCCCTAGGACAGACAAATTTAATATAAAATTACTCGGGTGTGATGAACATGTAAATGCATTAACCAAAAATATAATAACATTTTATTTGCATTACAGAATGTATTTTTTATGTGAGAAAAAAATAAAAAACAAAAAAAAATAGCTAAGCACTAATAAACAGTCTAAACTCGTATTATAACAATGTAACATATAATTGTTAAAATATAATACTTTTAAAATAAAACTTCCTTCATAAAATCTATATTAAATTGTACATAATTGAATATAATAATTACTTACAAATAATTCTTACTTGGTTAATATCCTAAATTCTTAACTAATGTCTAATAGTTTATAGTATCGAAAATAACAATAATATATATAATTTTTGTTATTTTACATTAAAAACAATATTGTAATCACAATATAAAAACCGGCCTTCAGGCGAATGGTGGCGCTACCTACCATACTGCCGAGAAAATTTGCGACCGGAATATGACGTACAAGACGGTCAAGACGTGGTGTCACCTTATCTTCTCTATATCGTGCTTGAGATAACAGAAATAAGATAATATCCATGACAATTGACAAAGCATACATGACGTATGTCAGCAACATAGTGATACGCATATCTCCCACTTTTTTCTGTGTTATGTTCTTCGTCTGCCATTGGTCACATATATTGAAGCATGAAAATCGGAGCCTAACACATATAAAACAAAGAATATTCTTTATTCTTTATCTCGATKCAMATAGGAAACAGTGGGGATGCGCAAACAAGAATCAAATACGTATTGTTACTGACATACCTCTATATTTTGTCATGGTAATAGATAAAAAAAATGATTTATCATATTTTATTCATTTATGAATTATGATAATATGATGACATTATGACAATTACATTACTCGTTACCTGTTAGGGGTTGCTTAGCTCTAAARCAGTAAAGCAATAACTTATTAAGATAATTAGATAATACTGTAAAATAAAAATAGTTATCTTAATTCATACTCATTAGCTTTTATAATAGGATCATACAAGTTTGCAGACTACAGTGTATTTCCGTTGTGCAGCTATCCAAACCCAACAGCAATCACTGATTAGCAACTGATTTACAGTGTAAGTATACCATGGACCTTATTCGTTATTATTTTTAGTTAATTTTAGTAAAAGCTAGGAACAACATTAAAAATTACCAAAAAATATAATAACTAAGTGTCCAAGTGTTAAAACCTTTAAAATAACAGATTATTCTAATTATTTTAGGYGATTTTAGGTAAGAATGATTAGATTAAACCCTACACGAATTGAGCTAAGAATTGAAGATCTAAGCGAATTTGCCGATATCAAACTTCATTATGAAGCTATTAAAAAAGCTAAAGAAGAAAAACAAAAAAATCTATACGGTCCTCTTCTGAACAGCAACACCTCAAAAACCAAACAAGATGCTGTACAAGAAAGAATAGGATTTGTCCCAAGGCCCAGGCATTCGTCACAATGAAAGAAAGTACTCTACTGTCTAATTTTTTTATCCTAAGTATTTTTATTCATTAATTTTATACATTGAATGCTGAATTTATGAAAACATAAATGATCCTAACTATTATCTATGCTATACTGTTTACTTTCTTATTTATTTTACTGTACTTTCAGTTCTACCAATTATAGATACTTACCTCATAATATGGTCTAAATTCTAGCTATAAGGACAGTGGAAACCAGTCCCTCAGTCCACAATTTTTAACATTGTATTAAATGATGATAAATTAAAGATCAATCTCTTGAGATAAAAAATCAATTGCTTGAAATTACTATTGTTTGTAATATCTTATAACAATCTAAATGCATGGGGCATGGCCTGGATCTATTTAGTTAATAATTATATACGGATATACTCATGACTATATAAATAATCAGGGAATTGAGTATGTTGTTTAATCAATTGCATAGACTTAAAAGCCAAGTTTATTAGTCTATGATCAATTGTTATTTCATCCTTACTGAGGTGTTGATAAATTTTCTCATGAATCAAGTCTCATTATTAGTCATTCAAATATTTTTCAAGTATTAGTACCAATACTACTTTTAAATGGACGATAGAAAGGAGTATTTAATATTTTGGACTTAGGTAAATGACTTATATGAAGTTATGAGTGTTATGACATAAACCAACAGTAGCACATATCCTTAAAAATATAGGTGTAGCGAAACATAAAAAATAACCACCCACACACAAGAAATTTATTAAAATATTCCAAAGTATTATTCTATATTATTCACATTCAAAAAATTACACAGACAACCTACCACACCTACCACTTATTAAAGGTGTTTGGGTGTAGCAAACGCTACACCTCTACTCTAGGATAGCTACCGCTGTAAACCAGAGGTCCCCATCCTCCGGTGGTCCGCACTTTGCGAGACATGATTTGGTAGTTTGCAAACCATACCAATAAAATTTAAAAATATTACATTTTCTTTTGRAGCCTAAGTGTGTGATACTAATATTTTGCGATACAAATACATTTTTTATAATAGAAATTTGTGTTAAATTGTTAATAAATATAAAACTTACTTAAACTTGAACAATAAGTCAATAATTAACATTATTATATGCCAGCTGCCCAGCTGTAAAGAATTTCATTGTATTTTGTATATTTATATTCTAAATTCTAAAATGTGTGAAAAAAACAATTCTTCTTTATAAGAAAAAATGAAGTCTTACGTTAAAAATTATTGGTGTTTCGAATTGTCAAAAAGTATGGAAGCCATTGACATAAACTGAGGTAATATTTTGATTAACAAAAAAGTCCGTACTTGAAATTGTGTATAATAAACGTACGGTGAATAGTGAATACTATATATTATACACAGTCATAGTATGTATGGTAAAATTCGAGTAAATACTCTTTTTCTTATATATAGTAAATTATATTAAAGTTTTTTTATTATTGTATTATAATGTTATATTTAATATTAATAATTTGTTTCTGGTGTATTTGAAACACTCATTAGTCATAAGTAGATGACTAATTTTATGTATAGGTATCAATAAGAAAAAAACATTTATTTAGAATAAAATTAGGTAGGGGGCTGCTGTGGTGCAGTCAAGCAGCGTCTGGTATTGCTAGGTCCCGGATGGGAGGCTATTTGGGTTTTAAATGACGAATCTTTGCCCCACACACAAATGTTCTTCTAAAATCAACTGTACAAAAGTACAAATTCCCCTACAAAAAATGCTAATGACGATTGTTGTCGATGATTTAGTTGTACAGTGCGTACTGCGTACACACTAATACAGCAATACCCGTACGCCACGCTGTGCAGAAACCTGCGAGGATCTACGGACGAATCATTCACCGAGGGGCGAGGACTGAGGAGCCTAACCGACAAAAGAATG